CAGCAGGAAAAAAAGATGCATTTCCTTTTCGTTTTAGTGGGCCTTGGATCAGGATTTTAAATACACCTAATTATTCCAAATCTGGATAGAGTGAGAACTAAATATACTAATTGCATTGCACTATCAAGCATCACAGATATTACAGCAGGAAAAATATTTCGCAGTATATACCAAAAGTAGGTACACAATAAAAAAGCTTTTTTTTTTTTTTTTTTATTTATTTAAACATAACTGAAAGTTGTTTTGATTTTACCTTTGGTTTGAGCGTGGATGGACGATGCCTCTTTTTCACTTCTATCCAAGGTTCGGAGTCCAAATCAGGCAAACTTGTAGACAATCCTTTAGACATTGGCTGAAAATTACTTGTGTCGGTGTTTTCCTTTGGATTCAACAGGCTTCCCATTCTTGGAGAACTTGGTGCAGACTCTAACATTGGAAGATAGTAGTTCAGTTCCTCATTTTTATTGCTCCATTTTTTTTTCCTTTAACTGCAGCTACCATTCTTCTTGATCAGCAGAATTTCTTTTCATTTTTAGGAAATCACTTTTCATAGTTCACTCAACATTTTTGGAGAAAGATCAATTTTTGGCAACTTATTTACATGATAAATGTCTCTAGCAGTCTGAGAGAAACTGTCCGTTATTCAGAAGACAGGAATAGCATCATTAAGGACGTTTTCTCCACACCATCCTCCAAATCTATGGAGGGTGCCTAACTCAGTCTGCATTCTTCCCATTTTCTTCCAGCCAGCACTTAAAATATATATATATATATATATATATATTTACTTGCCAAGGATTGTCAGCAAGCCAAGCCATCTCCTTATTAACAATGGGAATGAAATCCCCATCCAAGACCAGGATGCGCCAGATAGAGAGTTAACTTTCAGCTGCTACCAAAATGAACACGATTTTATGACTAACTTAAGACAATTAATCATATTATATTAATAACGATAATAAAGGACTGTAATCCATCATATCCTGTTATGGAGAATCTTCACAGCCATAATACATAAAAGACATTTTTATCTACTGTCACATCAGCCACATGAATCGGCACTTGCAAGGCTGACAGGTGCATCATAAACCATATGAATAAACCATAACCAAGTGTACAGTTTGTGTTAGGAAATCACTATCACGAGTATCATTTCCTAAGTTAGACAGCCAGCCCTAAACTTATGTTTCTATGAAATAAATCCTTTACCAGTATGTGAGCCAAAAATTTGGCCAGGTATGAATTCTGGACAATTGATGAGCTGAGAAAAGTCAGTCCGTGGCAGATTACGTGGAGGAGGACCTGGAATTGGCCACTTTTCTGGATCAACCCTTCTCCTTATCTTCTGATCCACAATTTCAACTTCTGTACTGTCCTGTAGGGCCTGTGTGAAGCATATTACAACTTTAAAATGTTACATATCCAGCACCGGGCTCCCCACAGACACAAGATGATCATTTCTTCACACAGTAATTCAGAAAGGAATCTGAACTTCTGTGCTTGTTCCCCCAAATCACTCTCTGTTCTTTACGCTACAGGTGTGGCTAACCTTTTCCTTCCTAGGACATCCATTCAAAAATTTTTCATTGGATCAGTTATCATCTCCTCACCCTCCCCAAATTTCAATCTCTTCCTTGCGTCAGGGCACCAAACCCCTTTCCCTCACCTTCCTAGCCATAATATTGCCTCTCCAAATTACAGTAGCGGTAGACTTTCTAAGAAACTGATTTGGACTACTGAAAATTTCCTATTTGAATAAACTCCGCAACGTTCTTTTTTTTATCCTAGAAAAAGTAGTAAAACAAAAAAGTAAAATACTCCTCCTCCTTACTCCCTGCACATGAAGATGTGGTTCTTCATTTAGTGCTTATCTGGAGTCTATGATTTTTTGTGAATCTAACAGGGTAGTTCTGCAACTACTGTAAGCAGGTAACTACCAGATAGTGGAACCCACATTTGGAATGACAGCATTCAGAAATGCTGAGAACGTGGGCTTGCTCCTCTAAATACATTTTGATTAGCTTATAAAGGAGTCCTCAGAAATGACTTTGAAGTGCCTGGCTTTACTAGCAGGAGCTAATTCCCATGTTGCAACTTGTCTCAAAATACAGCATCGTTAGAGACAAGGAAATGACCACAGATGACTGACTCTGTGAAAACAAACTTACAAGTGTATTCTTTTATTATAGTTAATATCCCTCAATATTGGTGATATCGCTCCTTTCCCTGCATCAGATGATAGCACTTTTAATAACCTTTAAGCTTTCTTCTCCCCTTTCTCAAATGAAAATGGATGACCTTGAAAGGATTCTACCTTTTTGTGGGTGCTGTGTATAGAGAGTATACTGTATCACGCAGTGAAAAGAAGAGTGCCTTTATCATGCTTTATCAGTGCCTTATCCTGTACACCTTTATCAAGGTGTATGTGAAAACACCTTGTGTGAGTGTCAAAGACTGCATTTCTCTCAACTTCTAGCAGCTTTTCCCTCAGATTCAAAATAGGTTCCTGAAAAGTGCAGCAGTGAGTAGAACTTACTCTACATGTTGACACGCATTAGGATTCTTACAAGAAAAACAAAGTAAACTTAATCTAGTAACCATTAACGGCCCTCTAATCCTCTGGATGTAGCTCTTCAGATTATTTACAAACATGAATGGAAGGAACAGACATCTATAATGGCTGCCCTTTACCATCTTCCCCTTTTGTAGCCTCACTCAGAATGTTTAGAAATAAAAGAAAGCACTTCCTGTAGCATTCTGCCCTCATCTCCAGTAGGAATGGGCAGAAATCCTTAAAAAAAAAAAAAATTTCCATTTATAGCCAATTTACTGGATCTTTGTCATTGCAAATAGAGATTTTTGACTGACTCATCATTAAATTTAAGTGATAGCAAAACATTAAGCTAAGCAACCTGCTATGTACATACTTTTGAATTATTTTACCTCCAAAATGAGCAGAGCATTTGTAGTCAAAGCTTGCACCCGATGGAAGCCAGCAATCAATGAAACGGGCAAAAATCCTTGTTGGTCCATCTTTCTCCTCAGAAAGAAGTCTCTTTCCAAATTTTCTGTGCTGAAATAATACTCACTGGAGAGAGAAACAAGCAAATATAAGCCTACTATAGGTTGAAGAAGATCGCAAAATAGTAACCTAGGTATTCTTTGTTAAAGTTTTCCATTTAAACTGAGCACACTGTTATCAACAAGCGTTCTTTGAACAGGTTTATCATTATAGGAAAGAGTTATAGAACAGCATATGTGCTCAGTATGTTAAGAACGATTTATGATCCAGTATCAACATTCGCATATATGAACTGCATAAGGAAAAATCTATGCTCAATTTCTCTTTCACCCCTCATCATTTTTTACTTACACGAACAGAAGGAAACAATATTCTCTTAGCCTCCAAATAAATGAAGGACAACTACTGCTTACAGTGAGGGTTTACGTTATTTCTCATATAGTGATATCAGTGCCCCTTCATCTTGAACTATATTTTTTTCTCCCCGGTTTCCAGTACATTAGAAGGTTTAAGCATCCCATCTGAGTTTTGAGGCACATATGCATTCTGAATCATACTTAAAGCACGCTTGTGGGAAGATGAGAAAACAAAAATAACTGATTTTGTATTTTCCATGAAACTCGGCCAAAAGGGACAACAGTTCATGGAGAAAGGTAAAATCTTTATAAAAAAAAAAAAAAAGATATTTAGTGGATAAAGAAAAGAGGCATAAGGATCACTTCAGTTATCTGACAATACCACAGAACAAGAGAGATGAGGGACAAAGAAGTAACAGAAAGAGAGATGAGGGACAAAGAAGTAACAGAAATGCAAATCTTCATAAACAATGAAGGTGAATTTACAGAAAGGTAAATCTTAAACGATGAAGTTGTATGAAATGATCCTGGTGTCAAGATGTTTCATACTCAGTGAAGCAAAACAGAAAGGAATTCACATCATGATCTATCATACAGAGCAACAAACCAGAAGACATCCTATGAAAAGGAACGGAAAAACAATTTGATTATGACGACTAAAAACTAGGCTTTTCAAAGTTTGTACATCATACCATAAGTTTGCATATTAAATCCCAGTAATACTCCTCCCTGTCAGGTTCAGGAAAATATAGGCAGTAAGGAATTTAATGAAGAACAATTAAAACTCCATGGCAAAGAAAGAGGTGTAGTACATAATAAGAGAAGAGAGCATTAAAAATGCTGAGTTAAAAAAAAAAGACATGCAAACATAAATGAAGTTAATTTTAATTTCAAGGTATAAAATGCTAAGAATCTGTGCCGAAGTCAGGTTCAAGGACAAAGCTATCAAAAGGAGAGCACTGTGATGCCATCACTGACCCAAGATGAAGCTTGACTGTTTCTCTCTAAAACTTTTGGTAGCTACAGAAATTTGAAGCAAAAGCTCTCTATAAGAAATACTCAGCTCCAAGACAGAATGAATACAAAAGCCTCAAAGCTGGACAATAAGACATACGACAAATGAAACTACTCCTGGTAAATTACAGCAACCAGAGAAGAGAATAAGGCTTTCAGAAAGTTAAGTTCTTATTCAGAGCTAAATAAATTGATCAGTGAAGTAACTACGCACAAAGAAGAGCCAGCTTCCTTTAAAGAATACTCTACGTAGCGTTCTGAAATGCTGTTTCTCTTCCTCTCCCAGTCCAGAAGATAAACAAGTACAAAAGCCATATACCAACGCTTTACTAATGCTACCTTTACAGTTATTCAGTAAAGGTGAAACCTTTTAATGATTCATCTAGTTAAAAACTTCACAAACAGGAATGGATAATGACTGAATTTGACTCAAACTGCCTCACCTGAAGTCCATCACTCTAGAAAAAGGAATTTGAAAGACCATTAATGATAAATGAAGACAAATCTGAATGCCTGCCCCCCCAGTTGTATTTTTCTCATTTTCCCCAATCTTGTTATTTATTTTTTAAATTGATGCAGACTTGAACGCACAACTAAATCTTATTCTGTTCTGTTTGTTTTTTTAAGAAGATGAGTGCAATAGAGTTCTACCATGTGCTACGAATTGAAGAGTTCCTAAGCTCTGAGATACTTTTCAGGCCAACTATTTCAAACTATAATTAACAGCACCGAAGATATTTTAAAGTGTAATACAAGTATTCCTCTTTCCTCACACACCAAGCTGTTCTTTGGGACAAGCATAAACTGCTTGACAGCAGTGCCTTGCTTACTGTCATTACAAATCAGCTCAGCTCGATGCAGTTTCTAAGATTTTTCCTGTTAAGCTGGTCAACAGTTCTAAAATTCATCAATACACTAGGATTCAGAACAATCTTACTTCTCTAACATATCCTCATTTATTTTGGACTCCATAAGGAACTCTGAGAGCTAGCAGTTCTATCTAGCTTTGTTTTGTATATACTTCCTTCTTTAGCATATAAAGTTGGTTTCCCATCACTACTTTTAATGCAATAAAAGAAGTGAATAGATAACAAAACCACCATTTTTTTTTAAAAAAGAACATAAACATTGTGAAGTTATCTTCTAAACCTGCTCAAGAAGATCTCTCTCATGAAAAGCAAACTCCATAATCAAAGTGTCTTAGGAGTCTCCGTCAGATAAGTAACCAATGACTCGGTTTAACCAGCCATGCTAAGTCTTTCATTGACACCTGCCAACCTCTTGTTGCTAAAATAAAATACAAATATAATCAGAAGTCAGATGCGACCAATGCTGTAACTGACATTTTCTCAGCAGAGGGGGACATCATCATGTCCTACCTTAGAAGGTCTGGATTCTACACTGCATGCCCAGAAATCTGGCCAACAGTGGAGTGTCTGTGCTCCTCCCTCACTTGTCTGAGGACAGTGCAGGCCGATTATCCTGACATGGGGGTACATGTCCACTGTCAGGTCTCATAGGGGCCTGGCAGCAAGAGTAACAAAAAAGACTGCAATAGAAGTTTTGAAGTTGATAGCCACATGCCAGATACTTTCTGCCCTTAAAGAGGCTTTTTTCTTCCTTTTGCGTCAACTGTAACAAAAGAAGCAAGAATAAAATAATCAAGTTGCTTTATGGAATACAAGGGCAATAAAAAACCACCACAAAGGCATCACAGAAATGCCATTGCAAGTATAGAAGATGAAACATCTGCCAGTGGTGGAAACTGTCTTTTTCAAATCAGCTAGTGGGTTCCAGGCCCTTTTTGACATGCCTCAGGGTGATTATCACGTCTTCTAGATGTTTTCTCATTCCCTAACAGTGTATATGAGAAAGTAAATATTTCAGATTATTGAAAAATCATGTATCATTGCAAAACTTTCCTCCTTCCGTTAGTTGTTTCAGGTGAAGCACTTTGAAAAACATAAAACTAACAAGACTTGTCAAAGCGAAATCGAGAGCAAATAAGGGAATCCTCTAGCTACATTACCCAGGAAAGAGCTTTACAGGTAAACAGACTAACAGTACTCAGAAACACAAGCATATCCAAATCTCACCCACATGACAACATATAAAGAGGACTAGGTACCATAAATAAAGCAGGTACATGAATTAGAGCCAGACTACAGCACAAGATGCAGAACACCTTCCTTAAAATTTCTGCTTCCCCATCACCCAGTTTTTCCACCTCCACAGTGAATAAATTCAAATAGACATGTAATGGTAACGGTCAAATCAAAAAGTTAAACTGAAGTGTCTTAATCTTCATCACTATTTGGACGATAAGGATTAAACACTGTTTGAACTAAGTTTTTTATCTTAAATGGATCTCTTCAAAAAATAAATGTACATTAAGCAGTCTACTTACATTTGACGTTTAATATACTCTTTGAGAAGTGCTTCATCCACAGAATACATCTGCACTCCTGTTCCATCATCGTAGTAATACATCATACTAGTGTTAAGCTCAGGTTGAAATGGTTGGTCAGTTCCTTCACCATATAGTTCCTGATAACCAACTGTATATTCAAAGTTTACTTCAAAATAAAGAAGAAAATAGAATAAAAGTGATGAAAAAAATTAAAGTTCAGCATACAAATATTTTAAGATACAAACATGATACATACTACTACTTACTGTTAGAATTCAGCATTCAGTTTCAAAAAACCTCACGTTACTTAACTAAAGTAACAGGATATGTTTTTTGAGACAACTCCTATTTCATGTGTAAACCTTAATAGCAAAAAATTTAAAACTATATTTAATAAGTATCTACTTTGCATACTTCTAGGGTTTCCTCTGCCTCGTCCTCGTCCTCTTCCTCGACCTCTTCCTCTGCCTCTGGAGAATCCTCTAACACTGCCACCTTCACTTCTCACGCTGCACACTTCATCATGATCATCTCTCTTGTCTCTATCACGACGCCAATCTTTAAGACAAAAAAAGCATAATGCTTGCCATTATAATTAAATATCACAGTATAACTAAGTAATCTCATATTTATTCCCAGGTATTAACCATAAAACATTGCACAGAAATGCATGTATCTCCCCTTTTTGGATGCTCAGAAAGGCTGAAGGAAATGACACTGCAGAACATGTGATTAACCTCAAAGAGTCCCTCATAGACTACTGTTGTATTTACGCCTCAAATAAGTTTCTGATTTAAACAGCCAATGCTTCCAAGGAGCAGAAGAGTGTTTACATTCTCTCACACTGGAACTCATCTTGAATCACTACAGACTTGAGGCAGAGTTCATTCTACAAGCTTCAATTCATTCAATCATGGAGTTCCCGAGAAACATTCTGGAGAACAGTGATAGGCTCGTAAAAATTCCCAGCTCCCTTTTTATCCCTCACACGTCCAGATCAAATACATGTATCGATATTCCTAAAACAGTACCACAAACAAATCTGATCTCAATAGTGCCCAGCACCGATTTTTATGCTAAGCAAACACTTACATTTTTAATGCATACGGTGACTCTAAAACTGAAATGCAAATACATAAACCAGAAAGAGTTACACACAGACTAAAGTTTCTGCCTTCCGATAAACAGTACTGAGAACGACCAAGGACGTTATTTTCCCATACAGAATTATTCAGAAGCAGGACCAGCTGCTACCCATTCCCCGCTCTGTTGTGCTAGTATAAACTTTTTGTGGGGTCATGCTGAGAAACAAGACCCACAACTGACAGAACTGGTGCAACTAAAAGAAACAACAACATCAGTAGAATTGCCAAAGCAAAATTCAAAGCACAGTTCCATAAGCAATTGCGCTGGTAGCAACAAGCTGTGGGAACAGGAGTAGAGCAAGACAAAGCAGGCATGTTACGAAGGTATTACCAAACCTCCCGTACTGTGAAACCACGGCCCAAGGCTCGGTGGGCAGCTATGAGGAGAAAAATATAAGGCTCTGGTTCAGAGCATCAGCGCACACGATAAAGACAGAGCGTTCCCAAGTTCAGTTACTCAGCAGAATCAAGGATCAAGACACTACAGCTCTGATGAATTCGCTAAGAGGTTCAAAAAAATCTGATAGTAAGTACTTAAACAAAGTTTTCCAATTGAACATTTATTTATTAAACTACAACACAATTTATTTATTTTAATATGTCGATCATTGGCAAATACCAACACTAGCTTTTCTGGCATTGGCAAAGTCAAGTTCCAACATGAACAACCAATTCTAATGTCTATTCATGTGATATTAGTCATGGGAAAGGGGCGGGGGTGGAGCAGGGAAGGAAGAGCATCATAGCAGTTTGAGCATATCTGGTCCCTACTACTGCTTTGTTTGAACATTAGAGTCAGCTCAATAAATAAGTTGTAAGTTACCCTTCATTTGCCACAATTCAGAAGAACCAAAGAGACTGAAAACTACTTACTTCTCATCTCATTACGTCTGTTGTTATGAGATATTATTAACTTGTTTGTTTCTAGCTGAGATCTTGAGCTAGTTCGAAAGCTTGGTCTTTCTTGACTATCTGGCTTTACATCATCCAAATGAAGTGGCAACCATTTCTGCTTGTTACCTTAAAAAGTTAAAATATTGCTCTTAACTATAGTACTGCTTGAGGCTTCAACTCTCTAAAAGATTCCATATAATTCTTCTAAAACTTCTAAAAGTTCATTTCAAAAAGTTTTAGAAACTGGGAGAAGCTTAACATTAGAATTTTAAGATATCATAAATGACTAAACAATAATAAATGCAGTAAACAAAAACTTCTCAAACTGAGAGATGACTTTACCTGAGCTTTACATACACTAAATGAAGGTGAGCTTTTTCATTTTAATGTATTTCCAAATGTAAGCTCCATTACCAGGAATTTACAGCCACGTAAGTGTCAAAAAAAAAAAATATATATATATATATATATATAAAAATATACATACACACAGAGTAAATTCATTACTTACACAAATCTCACATCCTGCATATGGAACGTAAAGGTGAAAATCAACATACCAGATTAACCACTGAAATAAGGATTTCAACCACAGACCATGAACATTTTCCTGCAAACTCATTTAGTGGTACAATATTTTTATCTCAAGATACTTGGATTAAATCCATTCCTCTGCATCAAAAACAATTATCAAAGCTCTATTTTATTGTAGGCTGACCTAAAATATCTACTGACCGTAAGCTTAATGATGATGCTTGCTATTCTATACTTGATAGTTATTGTATACACTTGATATACTTTTTGTAGTTATGAAATACAAACAAATACATAAAATGTTATCCACAGCGGGGGAAAAAACAGCTTATTAAAATTTGCTTTTAAATTTCAACCTAGATCGAAAAAATTAAAAGATACACTGATTAAGCAATAAAGGATTTTTCTTTAAACAAACCAATAGCAAGATTAACAAATTTAAACAAAGATCTTCAGTACCTGAAGAAATACGGGCAGGGAAATGCGAAACAAACAGCCGATGGCAGCTGTATCTTAAACTATCCGGCCTCCTCAAGTTCACTGACCAAATTAGAAACAAAGTTTGATTCTTATTTTTAACATGATAGATTGGATAAGGAGGAAATGAAGAACTTAATTGTCAAGAGATCTCTTTAGTTGTCAAGAGATCTCTTTAATGTGCAAGTTAATAGTAAAATATTAAAACTAAAATGACAACACAGTAACAAAAATACGCTTTAAAAACCTTAAATGAACATAGTGCAATTTCTTTAGTAGAATAAAGACGTGGTTTGAACCATCAAACCACATAGAGTAATGGTTTGAACTACAATGCTCAATTTTTCCAGGGTTTGTCTGTCAGAGCTCCGCATCACATCAGTAGAACATGAGCTGCTTTTTCCCCCAGAACTTCCTATGTGATTAAATACAACACACAAAAACCTGAGAAAAGCAGCCAGTTTTAAGCTTCCCGATACAAAATAATATATCCTGAAAATGAAAAACGAAAAATTTCATCAAGTCATTCAACTGGAATTAACATAATTGTAACAGTGCTGTAGTACTGCACTGTACATAGCACCCAGACTTACCTTTTTTCCTTTGGTTGTTAGTTTGAGCTTCGTCTTCACTAATACTGTCTCCTGGACCATCTGGCTTTGCCTCCAGGTTGTCTTTGATTTCATTACTGCTTTTTCTATCTGATTTCTCCTCCTTTTCTTTTCTGTTTGCTGGCTTCTTACTGTGGTTTATGGTCTTACACTGCAAAAGGTGCTGATAATTATTTGACTGTATTGCTGATGGCAGCAAAAGCTGCAAAGTTCCTTTACCTATTAAAACGCCTTTATTATTTAGCTGTTCTCAACCTCTTCAAGAGGGTGAGTTTTCAGAACTGTGTTGCTTTTTAAAGTCTCAATTTAAATATTTCTATTTTCTACTTGTTCTGCAAGATTATGGAAAAGAATTCCTCCAGTAAAAAAAAAAGTCTTTTTTAACTGAACATGCAGAATTGCAGGATACACAATAATTATATTTTAAAATATAAAATAAATTTCTAGGAAAGAAAAGAATATTAGTAACTGTTCAGACTTACTATCTTTAAAAAGCTTTTCCATTAAATCAGAACAAGAACCAAAGATCAGAAAATGCAGAGGTGTATGTCTACTGATTTTTCTAATTGTTATTATATGGAATTTACTGATTGCCTTGGAGTAGTGAGTGCCAGCATCCTGAAGATTATTACTTCTTGGAAATTCAGCAGAACAGGTTTCAAAGAAGAAAAAACGAAGAGCATTTTAGATGAACAGTGGAAGACTTTGTTTGGATTGGATATAATATCTACCTGCAAAATTAAGTTTTGCAGACATTTCTGCCAAACAGAAAGACTTCTGTGTTGTGGAGACTGCTTTGACCATGCTAGAATATATACAGTGGGTACTGCAGTACTATGCCATAATTAAGCTGAATGCAAAACCTTCCCTAGACAAAACAATTGAGATTAAATATAAACTACATTATCATTTGGTGCAACAGGCTCTACAGGAATTTGTGTACTGTAATTTTCACATACATAAGCCAACAAAAGGTTATTTAACATCTATGCAATACAATCGAGACCACGTGGTAAAGCAAACAATCTGGGAAAAAAAAAAGTAATATTGTTAGGGAAGACTTTTTCAGACAGAGACCACCACATATGTATGTTCTTATGGAACATTATATATGCATTTCAGCCACTCTGATTAGTACTGTACACCCAAATGTTGAACACCTGTTGAACCCAAATCTGGGTTTCCTCACCAAGAAAATGATCAAAACGTAACAGGGATGCTGCTGGAACTGAAACAAAGACTGAAATGACACCACATAGGTTGCAGTAATCTGCGCTTTGAAGGTTTTTTTGTTTTTTGTTTTTTTTTAAACTAACATAGCATAAAACAGGTGTAATATATTGAGCTCTGATCACCTGAGATAAGGTAAAAGAAGAGAATTTGAAGGAATAGGTATTAGCTAAAGATCCAGAGAGGGGAAAAAGGAACAGGGATGGAGTAAGGACAACTCCCGGCACGGCTTTGCAGTAAGCGTTCCAAGCCACAAAGGAGCACAGCAGGTTCACAGTCCCAAAGGTTACAGCCCCTCTAGCCTATGCACCAACTTCCCAAAGAGTGGGAAAGGGAAATACTAGTTTTAAAATGGTGGAATAAATATTCCACCTTTTTATCTACACATCCATAAACACCACTTATGGTAAACTCTGTGGGTGGTGGGGGGAGGACTCAGAAATTCTCAGATCAGTACAGTTAATCACAGGCCTGTATTGTGAATTAGCAGCAGCATTTCTGCTGAAATCCCAGAACCACCAAAGCGCACTCTTTGGGGAAATGGATTAAGCAGAAGAGTCAATTTGATTAAAAAAATACATTATTGAAGATAAAGTACACTTACTTCATTGCTCGCTGTTTCACTTGGTGTTGGCCAATTTGTGATATCATTGAAATCACCAGCCTGCAAAGATGATAAACAGCTTATAACAGTTACTAGATTTAATTTATTTTTAATGCATGGATGAGATCTGTCATGACTCATGGCAAGACTATGCTTCCGAACAGAACTGCTAGAAGTAGCAATTTTTAAAATTGATAAATAGGATAGAAATCAAGTATAGCATCATTTTTAAACAGAAAATGATTAACTGTAGAAACAAATATTCATTGTAGTTGCTTCCAAAGCAAGGTCCAACAACTTATGTTCTGAAGACAGTCTTACCTAGCTTGTAATTACTTCAACTGTCTAAAGAACGCCTTCATGAAGAATTTAAGTGAGCGTAACCATAAAAAGACGATGAGAAAGCAAAACATTCTACATTCTATTATTAAAATAAACTAATAGAACAGATACTTATGACTTAAGTACACACAGAACAATTTTCAGACCAAATACAGTCTTGCATGTTACTTCCTATGCAATTTAAAGGTATTGGCCCCTTTCAAAGTCATTCAGCTTTTGAGAGAGCTTTGACCAGTAATTAGACCTAAGAAGGGGTAGATCTGAAAAGGGGTGTCTGTACAAAGTTTTAGAAACTTAATTTTTCAGTAGAAGGAACTAGTGTCTCCTGTCTTCACAAGCATGATTTTTATAACAGAATATAAGGCGTGTACATCACTTGCATAATTTGTAAATAGATTTCTAAAACCAATTTAGCATCACTTCTGCTCACAAGTGCTAGAGTTCCTGTGTAACCCCTTCACATTTTTATATAACCCAAATGCTTTTTGTTAAAAAGTGCCTTTCCTTACCTCCCTATACATATATCACTTTACCTTTCCTCCTAATTTTAAACTTCCCTTTTTTTTTTTTTGTTTTCCTCCGTCTTCAAAATTAACCATCACCAAGGCAGAATATAACACTTCTCATTTTAACTTCAAAATAACTTGCTACATTTGAACTTTAATAATATCACCCATTATTAAATGGCTCAACCCATTTACCACAGTCAACATTTACAATCAAAAATATTCCTTTGAAATTATTTCATTTTCCTACTGTATTATCAGCACAGTTAAACGCCAGTTCAGATTAACTGGGATGTCTAACACATTCAGCCTGGCAACTCATAGCTAAACGTCCTTTTCTGGTAAATACAAACCTTGCTGCATTTCCTCGCCCTAGGTTTCCCCGCTTTTACAACTTTAGTGGAATTCTGTAGTTCTGAAAAGGAAGAAAAATATTTTCACAAAAAGAAGGGGACTGCATTTAAAAAACACTTAAACAATGCTATTTATCTGTCATATAATACTAAGGCTTTTTTGTGGCCTTGGTATTGAAGCCATTGAACGTTAATGACCATTGAAGTCAATTATTCTAAGAATATTTCCATACAATAACTTATACTGCACAACACTGGAAACCATGCATTCAAAACGTGTGTAAGTATCTTCAAAATTAGGTGTACAGGATACTGTATAACGCTATATTTAAGCATTTGCTCAGCTGTAAGCTCAAGACTGTCTCAAAATGCTGGCATTTTATCCTAAGAATTAACAAAGAAAAGGAGGACCTGAAACATGTAGGAAGCAGTTACCCTGTAAAAAGCTATATTTAGAACACAGCATTCATTTATGAAACCTGTCATTAAGCAAGCATGAAAAAAACTATAGAAACAATTATATATTCATAATTCCTAGCACTTCCATTTAAAAGCAATCAGTCAAATGCAAAAGGAAACTTAGCCATATCACCTATAATCAAGTCAAATCAGTGAAACAATTAAAAGGAAAGGTAAAAAAAGAAAATCGTAGAAACTACATTAAGAATACGTTTTAATGCTCAGATTCAGCAAGGCACAAGAACTGCTTATCATAAACATGAGCAATTGCAATGATGTTGGCACTCGCATACGTTTTCAGGACCTTTCTGAGCCAAGACCTGAACTGCTTAAAATGATCCTGTCTGACCTCCTGAGTAGCAGAGGCCTGTATATTTCAAGTGGTATTATCTGCAAGATATTAACCAAATACTTGGAAAGAACTACTTCTCTCATATTCAGCAACATTATTTGACCTAATCATCTATGGTTGACTACTGTGGGTGGTTTTTTTTTTTTTTTGAAGATAAGAGTCTATTTCAAGTCACTGTGTCTTTTTCACACATGGGCAAATTACCCTTCTGTACATGAAGCTGAATTTGGTTTTCTTATTCTGTATAATTTTTCCCTACCCATCTAATTGTGTTGTAGGTTTTGCATTAGGAGTTATAAACAACAAACAAAAACCAAAAAAAAACCCAGAAGAAAATCAGCCAGTATTAGGCAATTTGTCCTGGAGATTTTAATTTAGAATTTAGACAGACGAATCCACCTTTTAACTTCCCCTGGTAAGCTAGAGCAGCTGTCTTAGTTTTGTTCTCATAACACACATTTTCAAAGACAAATAGTCACAGCCCTTCCCAGAAAATCTCTTACTCCATATCTTATTGAAAGACAAGCTAAAAATGTTAGACATGAGTAAAATCACTACTGAATTATTATTTCATGCAGGGATAACATCATCTCCTCACCCTTATCTCTCTTCACATCCAGTGACTTCACTAATCTTCCTTATCATAGCTTCACACTGGGAACTCCACCCTCATGCCCTACAGCGATTCTAAAAACCCCTCCAGGCTGCTTCCTGGAATATCCTGTGTATGCTGTAAGCATGAACGAGCGTATAGTCCATGTTTTACTGTAAGTTACATTAATACAGCTAGATACAACTTACACATAAGATATGTGAATTCAGTTTACCAAAGTACCCTGATCAACTTGCGACCACTGCCACATCATTTGCCACATCTTTTTTTTTTTCTCCAAATGGATTCCTACAGACGTGCTTTTTATTTAAAGCAAACAAACAAACCTCCTCACCTCCTCTTCCTTGTTATTCAGTCTCAATTAACTTTAGATGGAGAGCTATCATTCTACTTATTTGAATGCATATCGACTCTGTAATACTAATTTGTGTGTCATTCAATACTAAACTGTCTTAATGAAGTACAACAGAAACAGCTGCAGACACGGGGTATCGAACAAATGTGTAAATTTTTCCAATCATGATACTGGTAATTGTCTGTTAGGCTATACCACCTATACTATTTTTCCTCCAAAATTCTGTAAACAGGCATCTCTCTTCAGCTATTTGGTTATCTTATTGAGAGCCCTTTTCCATCTCACAGCACTCTTACTTAAATAGCTAACGAAGGACTGCTTTACCAGACCTTCCACTCCATATCTCACCAGGGCATAGCAGGGGATTTTAAAGTAGACAGGAAAATTAAAAAAAAAAAAAAAAAAGACTTAGTCGGGGGATATTATTCAAGACAGCAGTACAGGTTATCTGAATCAAGTGGAATGAAACCTAACTTGTTTTAAAGAATCTCTCCTACCTGTTTACAAATTTCACATGTACTAATGTAAGCTTAAAAGATGCATTTGCACACTGAATGAAAGGAAAATAAACGTTAGGCAACACAATGTCTAGCTGATGATGCCCTTTCTCAACTAAAAGGCCAGTGATCTCATCCCGCTCTGTGCTTCCCTAACTGCAACAACTCCACAAAGTTTCTGGTCTTCCAGAAGAACTGCCTTCAAAACCAAATTTAACTGATCTTTCCTAAGTGGCTTTCTACGGCTTATCACGCGCGAGTCAGATTTTAGCAGCAAGCATGAAAGGGAAGATAAAGCAAAAAAGAAAAAGGGTGGGAGAGTAAAAGAACAGGACATCAGAAAAAGTAAAGGTTTTACTCAGATGAAGTCTGTTACATTGTTATAAACAAGACCATAGCCAAGGTCCACACAAACCTCATTCTAGAGTGCATTTAGATACCAGTTAGTATTATTCCAGTCTTCAGTTTTGGCATAACAGTACAGAATACCTGGAAATAGTATCTTTAGTTTATTGCTACAGCAGAAAGCCCTTGAAAATAAACTGTTCAAATTATTGTTGATTTCAACCTAACTACAGTAAAATGATTTGCCTCAATTTATCAGCTCACATGCTACTAGGTAACCCATTTACTAACAGCAAAATACGTTGATGTAAGATTTCAAGTTATCTTCGATTACTTTACTTGTTGGGTCTTGGTTGACTTTTGAGGGGGCAGAAAAACAAAGGGCAAGCAAGTTTAAATGCCAATGATCATCTTTCATCACTGAATTACAGTGAAGATGTTGCCCACATGAAAACAGGAAGCCATATTAATACAGTTCTTCCAAGTCTCTTAATACACCTCATCCTACCAGAAGATATTTTCTGCAGAAAGATATGGATCTGCAGACATGCCCACTGCAATATTTCGAGCCATATGGGACAAGAGTTCTTAAAAAGGCAAGGTGAATTCTGGAACAAGCGAAAGGGCAGCAATCCTCAGGGACAACGACACCAGAAAAGGAACCGTGGGACAGCATGCTGTACAGAGAGAAGCAAAGTTTGTACATAAAAATGTATCACCAAATACCAGCCAGATTGCATTTTCAGTAACAGCACTACAGAGTATACTATTCAATACTTCAATTCAGAAAACATTATTTGAAGTTGTGAAAACATCAAGTCAGCAAATCAGTATTTCAGATTTCCTCTGGAAATTAATGTCTATTAATTACACTAAAATTCCTCTAAAATTAATGTCTATTAATAAGAGGGAGAATATATTCTCATTTCGATACACGTTTTATATTGTAATGATTTCTAGACAACATTCAAGTTTTCTTTTTCATTTAGACTGCACATTTATTTACTTCAGTACAGAAATAACATGCCAAAAACACCAGAAGTGCTCCATGAGGGGAGGGTTACTCCAGTTTTGGCTACTGGCAAAATAGCTCTTCAAATTGTCAGTGGAACATGTTTGTTACAGTTGTAGAAAACTTTCCTTCCATTCCTTAATCTGAAATTTCATGACATAAATTTTTAAATAAGGTGAGCTATGCATAAATCTATTGTTTTAACAGACAAATGCAAAAGTCTCACCAAAAATACTCCCTTGGAATATACGATAATTTAAATGTAGATCATGGTTTTATGATGCAAGCATTCTGGGAAATAAATCAAACAGTAACATATGCTGTCGTAATTTCCTATAACAGTTGTAGCAGTTTATAGCAAAACTGCATTAGGTTGACCAACATCTTGAATAACTCAACCGAGGTACCGAGTTACTTCACCTGCATCCTTCCAAATATTTCCATTCAGAAACAGTCGTTCAATGTTTCAAGCACTGAACAATAAGTAGGACAAAAAAAATATAAGATTATTATGTTATGTGTGTGTGTGTATATATATATATATTTAGCTACTTAATAGAAAGCTACAACCCGCAACTCAATTTCTACAAAAGCTTTCATGGCACGTGCTAGAGCATACTGAGCTGGCAATGTATCTCACACTCTGGACAGCAGGATGGATTTCTCTCTCATATCTTCAATTTAGAAATCACAGGAAAGTACTATCAAAACTATAGTACACTGGTATACGTTGTATTATGCATTTAAAATACAGATAGCCGATTTGTAAAGCATATGTTTTTAATCTATTCAGGGCTGAGGTAATTGCCAATGTCTTCCCTTTTGATAATTCTTAACAAAAAAAAAAAAGCTGCTATTTAGACATTCAGCGAATTCATAAGAATGCATGACAATAACTGCATTAAATTCGGTGAAGTAAGACAAACTGAACACAATATAAAAGACTGAAGTGTGCAGTAACCTTAATTAACTACATCATTCAAGCACGCAAGGAAGCAAGCCCATTTTAACCACTGGAAAAGCATGGATATTTACTCCATTGAATACTTTCGTAAGTTTCATAAACTATTTTTGAATAATAAACTAATGCATCACTAGAGACCAATGTCAGCTATATAAATCACATGAAGACTAGAGAACATCTCATCTAGACGCCCTTTTGCAAGTTCACAGAAAGGGCAGCACCTTAGATTTCATCAAAGAGGTAGGAGAACTTCTGTAATGGAATTATTTCAACAATTTCATACTGAGCATGTTATTTATATAGGGGAAGGATAACTAACCTTGACTGAGAGCCCAGCAATGACATTTAGCTAAGGAAAAACAGACTCAAAGGGAAGGAATAGAGGAATAACACTGATTGTTACACAGCCTCTGTATGTACACATCTTGCTGGCTCAATTAAAAAGAAAAGCTCATCTCGTCACTA